TTTTGGATGATTACGTTGATATACTGTACAAAGATTGTACTCTAAAATCCATGCAATAGTAGAAAGTTCATTGGAGTATCTGTAACATCCATGAAATAGTAGAAAGTTCATATGAGTATCTGTACCATCCATGAAATAGTAGAAAGTTCATATGAGTATCTGTAACATCCATGAAATAGTAGAAAGTTCATATGAGTATCTGTACCATCCATGAAATAGTAGAAAGTTCATATGAGTATCTGTAACATCCATGAAATAGTAGAAAGTTCATTTGAGTATCTGTAACATCCATGAAATAGTAGAAAGTTCATTTTGAGTATCTTTCTTTCGTTTTATGCAAATAGGCAAATCATGTTGATGGCCAACAAAGGAAGAGATGAAAAGGTTGAAAAAAACATGGCCTTGGAACGCTCATCCACTCAACTTTGTTAAAATAGACACGCCAAGAAAAAAAGACATGGAAAAATAAACAGTCGCTATCGACCACCTAGAGATTAGAGTAGATTTCAAGGGAGAAACAACATGGATGGTGTTGTAAATAAATAAATAAAAACATGACAGCAGATATCTTGAAGTGAGAACAAGCTCGATTGAATTGATTGGTGCAAAATCGCCCATGACAAGGTGAGCCTTAGACACCGTTTTCAACATTGTAATGTTCAAAATACAAAAGTATCGCTATAAAGTGGCCAGTCCACTCATTGATTTTGATTGACTTATTGACTTTGCAATAGGTCTTCACTGATTCATACTCATAAAATCAATTGGGAAAAGAGTGAGAATCAAAAATGTTAGGGTGTCCGCTTACCTTTCTACAACGTCCGCCATGTCTTTTCGCTGGTACCGTTTGCGAGCCAGTAGTGTGGAGGCGGTCGGAAAGCGATTTTACAAGCACATTTCACCACTCGTGTATGATACAATAGGCTTCTACTGTAACAAGATGATTGTTGAATTCAATTATTATCATTATTATTACCTTAACCTTAATTAATATTTATCCGCAATATTATTATTATTATTATTATTATCTTATCATCCTGCTACAGTACTACAGTAGTACGGTACAGTACAATAAAATGAGTGTACTGTACAGCACAGCTTCTAGTGTCCGAGAATTTTTGACGTATTTAAAACCAAAGCAAAATGCAAAAAATAGACACAACTTGAACAAATTACATGTCAAACTATACAGCAGAAATCCAATAACACCAATCCGTCCTTATAATTTGCGTACGGTGTCCAATTTCCAAGTCATTATTCGTTAAAGTACGCCGCTCGCTACTGTATTAAGGAAAAAAAATCAGGCTTTTGCATATTGTACAAGTGTCCGTGTGACATACTGTATAGTGAATTTATTGTTGAAAGCTTGCAGTCGATCGTGTCAACGTGGCAATGAACGTGGATACAGTGCGTCACTGTACGAGTCAACGTGTCTTCCAATTGTATTGATTTTGAAGCTAGAATATTATTGACAGAAAATGATTATTTAGACTTCCAATTACTGTTATAAAGTGAACAGAAAATGATTATTTAGACCTCTAATTACTGTTATAAAGTGAACAGATTATTTAGACCTCCTATTACTGTTATAAAGTGAACAGAAAATGATTATTTAGACCTCCTATTACTGTTATAAAGTGAACAGAAAATGATTATTTAGACCTCCTATTATTGTTATAAAGTTGGCAGAAAATGATTATTTAGACCTCTAATTACTGTTATAAAGTGAACAGAAAATGATTATTTAGACCTCCTATTACTCTTATAAAGTGAACAGAAAATGATTATTTAGACCTCCTATTACTGTTATAAAGTGAACAGAAAATGATTATTTAGACCTCCTATTACTGTTATAAAGTACTGTACGAGTGGATGTGTCTTCCAATTCTATTGATTTTCAAGCTAGAATATTACATTATTGACACAAAATGATTATTTAGACCCCAAATTACTGTTACAAAGTAAACAGAAAAATGATTATTTAGATCTCTAATTACTGTTATAAAGTATAGCCCACCATAATAATTTTCTTAAAGAGTTCTAGTATGTAGGAGAAATCTGAAGGATATTCATGTGCAAAACTATTGTAATTAGCTGAAATCACGACATCATAATAGACAGTATATGTGAATGGGCGTAGGGAGGACAATCCAATGCAATATGCCAATGTATATCGA